TTACTATACACCTCTGGTTGTAAGTAGCTGAACTATTCTCCTATAATTCAATAGATATTGGGTTCAAATTTTCACTTAACTCAGAAAAAAATAATTCTTCTGTTGAAATTTATTTTAAAGAGTAAATAAAAAAATAAGTTAATTTGGATTTTTGAGCAAATTTACTGCAGCAGGGGTTTGGCTCTCGTGATGCTATATAAAACACATAACAGATGAAGTAAAAAATGCTAAAAAGCTTTTCTAGTTTTTGCTTTCATTCTGTCTTTAATCAGTAACCTTCCTGTCATCTGAGGGTGAAACTGAGAACACTGAGTTCAGTGTTTAAAAACACAATGAAAGGATGAAAAAAAAGAAACATGAAGAGGAATGCCAGACAAAGAGCGGTGAAAGAGAGTGAGCAGGCAGGGAGCCAGTGAAATATCACAACAAACCAGTAACACAGAGACTGTGAGGTGCTGTGAACATATGGAATATACATCTGGACAAACATCAGGCGGCAGGTGCAAACGCCTTGCAGCGGGGAGATTAAAAAGCCTCATACATACAGGTGGTGCAGCTACTTACTGTGAGCGAGGTGAAGGTCATGCACATGCCCCCGAAGCCATTGAAAGTCAGGGCGATGAAGATGAGAACTGATAGTTCTGCAAAGGAGACAGATGTTAGCTGCCAACAACCACCATTTTCAATAAACGAGCTGTGGATCTGTGAGATTTACCATTTGGTTTGTAGGCTCCGTAAGCAATGAGCAGGCAGGAAAATCCAAAGCATGTGCTGAAAACATAAACAAACATCAAATATATCTGCTTGCTCTTTGAAAACTAAGTATAAACGGGACTATTTTCATCCTCTCCGCGCTCACCTGCCCAGCAGTCGAAGCTTGCGAGGCCCATATTTATCCATGACGATCCCCAGCGGCAGTGTGATGGCAGAGAGCAGGAAGGAGCCCACTGTGAACGCCAGGTTCAGCATCTCGTCCTGTTCTTTGCAGATCAGCCAGCCGTTCATCCTCAGGGGCCCCTCGGGGACCAAGGGCCTCATCTCGACCCCATCTCCCAATTCCACGTTGGCCTCCCTGTCCTCGAAGATGTCGGAGTACTCATCGGACGCCTGCGTGGACAGAGGTTGGGACAGATTGTAGCTGGAGCTGTTGCCTGAAAAATGCAAGGACAGTGGAGAGAAAAGATGAGGTTGATTCACTTTTTAACAGCTATCGAGCAAAAACATGACATGGTAGGAGTTGAGACTCATTCTAAAGACAGATTGTCATGATAGCATCAGGAGCCCTTATAGGCACATTTTTTAAAGGAGACATATKAAGCTTTTAAATCCTTTTTGTTCACATTTAATTCAGTTGGTGTCTATATAAAGTGGAACTAAAATTCTTTGGTCTGAATTCCTCTTTATTGTCCTCCACAAGCCCCTCTTTCATCCCTTTTCTGTCTCAGATCAACTCGTTTTGAGGCTGTCTTTTTAAACCCAAATGAGGTGCTTCACACCCCGCACCCCTCCAGCTTCTAGAGTGGTCCATTCTAGTTTGATAGAGGGGTTTATGACTGTATAGCTGCAAAGAAACAGTTTYTTTACAAATAAATRCAAMATGTCAACAACAGAAGACTTATCCATCCAGCCTTGCACACTGTAAAAAATGAAATGTTGGATTTACTTAACCATGTTATGTTACCTGGTTCCACTTAACTGAGTTGAGTAAATTCAAAGCAACATACTCCTACCTATTCTCACTCCCAAGTCGTCACATATTGATGCTTTTCCAAGGTTCCGTCTGCGTCCGATTTTGACG